GGATCCAGAAACTGGAAGGTCCATGTAAAAAAAAAAAACTTGTAACGTCAATTTCGAAAAACCCAAACAGATCTTTCTCCCTCACTCACTCCCCCCTTTCGACCTTCTGAATTCCGCTTAGCTTTTCAGAGCAAAAATGGCGGACGATTTTGGCGCTGAAGAATTGGAGGACGGCGAGCTATGGCTTCCCTCTGATTTCTTCTCCATGGACGAAGCTCAGGTCCCCAGCAAGACCGCTACTCCGGTCGGCGGCCTTTCCTCCTCGAAGGCCACTTGCATGGTGGGCTTTCAGCGCGTTGCACATAACAATGGCCTCTGCGAAGCTCTCCAAACTTCACAGGTAACGCGCATGCACTGTCGTTTCTAATCCCACCGGCGAATTTTTCGAAAAAACTTGTGTTGTGTGTGTGTGTGTGTATGTGTGTGTGGACCTCTGTTTTTCTGTGTGTTGTCACGCTTTTCCCTTTCCTTCTGAGATGGATAATTTTGAAGTGTTTTAGCAGCGGTTCAAGCCGGCTGTTTACGGTGGCGTTTCCGGAGAGGCTGCTCGTGATCCCTGTGGCTGCGGAATGAAGAAATGTTGGACCGGCTGCTTACCTGTTTATCGATTTCAACGCCCGAATCCGGTCCAGGATCAGGTAAGACCCGGATAGGTTGCAATTTGCAATTGTCCTTTTCCAGTTTCCAGATTCAGCTTTTGTGATGAGATTGTGATCTCGATTAAGTGATTAATGGGGATCGGCTCCTACTCTGCAGATTGAGGCCTTTATGGCCGAAAGGGCTCGAGCAGAACAGAGACAGCAGCTGAACCGGGTTTTGCTTCAGGCGGAGATGGGTGCTCGTGGAGGGACAGGCGTATTTCTGCCTCGCGTTAGCAACACGGCTGCGACGAAAGGGAAGGGGCCGCGTGAGTGAATTCTTTAACTGATTCTTCTTTTTTTTTTTTGGTTTTTTTGATATACTGCATCGAAGTTTTTTCTCATTTGATTTGGTTTTATTGTTTCCTCAATTTGCTCTTAATCGTTATGCATCTTCATGATGGGTTTTAAGTTTGAGTTCAGATCAAAGCAGAGAATAATGAGTGGGTGATAATGAGACGGGCTGCGAATGATTACTCGTTTGAGCTTTTGATATCAAGTAAAAACAGAGTCTTAGCTTGCTTTAACAAATTATGGAAGATGCTAGGGTCCCGGAACCATTCCGTCGGGGTTTGTAACAACTATCTCTGATGGTTACATGATGATATAACAGTTACAAATCCCGACAAAATGATTCCGTAACGGGACCTTAGCATTTCCCTAATAGTTAGAAGTTTTGTGGAAGAATATGTTACTCAACCAAGTCATATATTGGAATGTGATATCTTGGTGGATAATCCGAATTCAATCTTGTTTTGCTTCTTGAATCGCCCTTTTAAAACTAAAGTAGAGAGACCAATTACAAGTGGTTAAATTACATTTTTAGGGGAAAGTTTTTTCAGTTTTCTTGAACTATTTAATGGGATAGGATTGTGTTTTCAATTTTTGCAGTATATATGCCAACTGAATATGAATTCCTTTTAGTTCAAGCTCTAAATTCATTCTATCAAACTCAATTTTCTCTCGGATTTATTGTGTCTGTCGTGATTCTTACGAAGCAAAAGAACTTTGTTTCCAAAATGTTACAGGTCTGAACAGTTCACACCAGTTTCAAATCCCTCCTCCTACGATCTTGCTCAACAGAGGTCAAGAAGTGTACAGCGACTATGGTGCTACCGGTGAGGTTTGCATGCCTAACTATTGGAGCTACTGAGAGTATATTTTTCTGCTATATTTGTAATTAAGCTTTTGCTTCATGAGATGCATGGTACTAGACTGGACTGGAACCAATAAGTGATCATTAGCATCATAGAGCCTCTGCCGTTTGTATATCTGTAGAAATGGCTGCTAGTCTTTTGTCGATCTTTTGTGTAAAGGAATATGAAACTGTTCTGTGTTAAAGGTAATGTATGAAAGACTGAAATATTTCAAGGAAGTGTATTGTGAAGGTCTCTTGATTTGTCTAAGCTTATGGTTTGAAACTTGGTACATACATATGTTATATATGATGCTTCTTTAACGCGAGAATCGTTATATGTAGTTAGACTTTATTTAAGTTCTTATTAAAGTTGAGATTCAAGAGAAATTGGATTATATGACCAAGAACAAGAATGGGTCATAGTGTAAAAATGTGGTCGGATGTGATATATCAACACTTCAAGCATCGTTAAAGAGTCCAACTTTGATCGAAGAGGCGGTGGAATTCCTGTAATTAGGTGGACTTTTGATTTTTCACCAGGGAATTTTAGTCATTTGCGCAAAATACGTCATTTGCGCAAAATACGCTGTTACGCTAAGTTGCAATCTCACAAAAACTAATTCGCCAGGGAATTTTAGTCATTTGTGCAAAATACGTCATTTGCGCAAAATACGCTGTTACGCTAAGTTGCAATCTCACAAAAACTAATATGCATTTTGTCTAACACTATTGTGTATAGGTGCATTCTTACAAACACTAATGTGCGTCTGGTCTAACACTATTGTGCGTTATGCAGAGCAATTTTAATGTGCATAACTAAATGTGATAGTGTGCAATGCACTGGACATTATTATGAAATTATAAATATTTTGATAAATTGAAAATTTGACATATGATCTAAATTGCAGTATATTAAAATTCATAAAAGTACAGAAAAGTCTGGGAACTTATCTAATTTTAAAAAATCAACCCCCAACAAAAATAAATCACCCCACTTGTCGTTGGACGCGCCGTCGGGCCACGTCGAGATATGCGTGGGCCCTGTCCACCGGTTGGTTCGTCGTATGAGCGGTCAGGCCCGGGTTTCGAAGCCGTATTGATTATCAGATGGGGAGGTTGAGGGCAACAATCTCAGGGGACGGAGAACAAGATGAGTGGTCGGCATGTGGAGGGGAGACAACGGTCTACAAGTGTTGGTTGCGTGTCACGAGGGGCGGCTGGTGGCTATCGCGGGATCAACCTCCTGGATGTGGAGCCGACGCCAGTCCTCTTGGAAGCTCTGGGTGCTTGAGAGAGTCGGCTGCGACGGCAGTGGTGGAGGCAGGGTGGGTGATGGCGGAGGTCGGTAGTGGTGGTCTCCGAGACTCCGACAATCGAGTGATTTTGTAAGAAAAAGATGAAGAAGTGAAATTGTGTGTGAGAGAGAAGAGAAGGGAGGGGGGGGGGACGGGTTGGTGGATGGGGCCCACTAGTAGTGGGTGGATGGGTTGGTGAGTGGGTTGGGAAATGTCCGTAATGCCCTTAAGGATTGTAAAAATGTAGCTTGTAATCTGCTATTGGATAGTCAGATTTTATGGTTAAGATGTATCTTTATATCTTTAACTCAGAATCATACTCACTTGAACTCATCTATATATGTGTGTATAACTTAGTTATTATTGATATATGTATGTTTGGTTTTGCTCTGGAGAAAAGAAACTATGAACGAGTTGTGATTGAAATAACTTAAAAAAGACATAATACTAATAAAAACAAAATGGTATAGCAACTCAATCCTTATTTAAGCCTAGCCATTCAAGGACTCTGCACGATCAATCATCCTATACTTCCTATTTTTCTCTTTAACCAAACCTGGTGAGCATCCTAAATCCATGTAAAATTAGTATAAAAACACCAAATAAGGAAGTTTTAGTTTTAGGTGCTGAGAAAATTTTCCAACAGTGAAGCCACAGATACCGGAATAGCTCGGTAGGTGATCTCTAAGACATTTATGAAAAAAAGGCCTTACGTTCCTCATGTACATCCATCTTCTTGGGGATACTCGTCACTTGATCAACACAAGCAACCAAACTACACCTTAAACTTCATCTTACTCGGTGAAAAAAACACATTTCTCTTATAAGGAAGAATTGGAGATTTAGTCTCGTAACTGACATTTAATTGAGAAATAGTTCGATGATCGCGTTGACTTTATAAAACACCCTCTAATTGCAAAAAAAAAAAAAGAAACCCGACTTTTGGTTCTTCCACTGGAAAAAAGCCGGTCCCTGTGACCGGCTGCTGAAGTTATCTTATGACATTACAAATCCTTTACTACATTCGTTCTTTCTCTCGGCATCACTGAACCTGTATCAAGCACGTACGCATCATCCCTGGTGACAGCCTTCCCTCGCTATTATCAACTGAGAACACGACCTCCATTTTCTCACACATGACTTTCATGCTCGCCTGCCTGTACACCTTGTTTGGCATCATGAAATTCGCGTTGAGCGCCAGCCTCAGGCTGAAATCCACCATCCCATTACTGTAATCCTGCTCCAGGGTCGGGAGAACCCACTCTTGCACCCTGTTTTCCTCCAAATTCTTCACGTCCGCCGGTATACTCAAGTTAAACTCCGTGCGCTGCATCTGGTTCACCTGGAATGGCTTCACAGGCGAAATCCCGAGCAAGGCCTCCTTGTAGAAAAGCGAGGACGCGACCCGGTCGAACCGGACCGCCCGGTCCTTGTTGGTGTTTGCGACCGAGATTGTCACGTCCCACGTGCCAGTCAGGGTCGAGTTCGAGACGGTGAAGTTGGACACTTTTAGATAGGTGACCTCGAATTCTGGGACGTAGGTCCCAAAGAGGAACCACATGACTAGGGACATCGTGCACATGCTGGCCACGAGGACGATCATGAGGAGCAGCATGACGCGCACGAATGAGGACGAACCGTCATCGCCCGTGTCCATGTCGGGGAGCGGCTTGTTATAATAGAAGTCGGTGGTGTTCGGGTAGGGCTGGGAAGGGAACTGGGGGAGTTGGTCGGAAACGAACACGTGGGGGTAGCCGTGGTGGGACCCACATGGATAGGCCGAGGAGGGTGGTGGCGGCCGCGGCTGCTGGAGCGGGAACATGTACGGGGATTGTTGGTAACGGTCCATTGAGGGGTACCCGGTTTCGGCCTTTTGTTTCTGGTCTTCCAAGGAGGTGGAATCCATTTTTTTTTTTTTTAATTTTTATT